GCATGATTTGCCTAGTTCGGATTACTATTTAATTGGCATCTCCAAGTATGTCCCACATAGGCAGTCTTTCAATGTTTGTCTTGCTTTGGCAAACATTTGACTACGCATCACTTGTAGGCTTGCATTCTTGATTTATTACTGCCCAATTTCTAGTGTTGTATCACGAGTATGAATTTTCCCACCACATCTAATTATCTGGGTCTCAGTTTACCTTGTTTCCCCTAAAACATACTTTTAACTCGATTTAGCGGTCGTTCTTAATATCGATGAACCCAGGGACTTCGGCATGTCCTTCGAGGCGTAGATGCCCCTTTTGCCTCCTTTGTGACCTCGCACGGTAGCTATGTTCTTCCCACGCGGAATTTAACTTGGATAGGTTGAACTTTAATTATTAGTCCCAACACCCAGATAGCATCGTTTATTATATATATTCTGTCCTCTTTGTTGACTGGCTTTTGTCTGGATTTACATGCACCTTTACAGAAGTTCATCTGCGCATATATTCTGTTTAGGAACTTAGTAGTGATTCCGAGGCACATACCCTGGACGAGGCGACAATGGACACCACATTGGACTGCTTGGGGCGAGCATGCGCCTTATTATTTCGACCGCGTGGGGCAAATGTATTTCGTCCGAAATCTTCAGTGTCGTAATAGAGACGAGGTGAATGCACATAAAGAAGAAAGATGTTGGGCGGTGGGACTAACTGGGTGATGCTGGTTGACGTAAATCGGTACCTCATGTCCAGCATATGTTTCCATTACCGGGCCTTAGCTGGTCAACTGTACGCTCAGTGGCGGTGGACATGTAACGAAACGTCTTCGATGCTCACCCCTTTAGGGGGTTGCAGCAACTTGTAGATGACTCATTCTCTGAAATAAAGAACCGCAGGAATGCACTCTACTAGAGACCTTCCGACGAGCATATGAAAACTTGCCCATCTTTGCCTCCACTTATCCCACTAGCGTCAATAGGAGGAAATTTTCGTCTGGTGGCCTCTATTTGATGGCTGACTGCTCTTAGTTTGAGACGCACCCTGTACCTTCATACTTTGTACTTTAGAGTCTCGAGGACTGGACAAATGTGTTTTCCGATCTTGTGGTGGCGGCCTTCGCCGATGTCGTTACTTGACGATAGCATAGATTCTTTTATAATTCGTCTGAACATGTTTTCGCAACTTTGTCGGAGCGACGGGGAGATCTTGTGGAATGTATCTAATTCAGGTTCCTCTATAATCATGGTTTCCAGCATCAGGGCATCTCCATTAATTTAATTTATTTTATTTTTCTTCGCTATTTTTACTCGTCGGCCTGTTCTAAGTTTATGCTTCGTCGGATTCGAATGTCAAGTCTGCAATTCCGCATCTCTATGGGTGGACATAATTGCAGAGCGAGTGCTCCGGTTTGTCACGAGCCTTGCAAAAGCCAAGCTTCACTGAAAGATTACATCGTTGATCTCGCAGTGGTATTTCAAAGTCACTTTTTCAGTA